CATAGGCCTACATGTGAGAGAATGGGTCTGCATGGTGGGTGTGCGCCATAAACAAATATCTAGGCGCCCGCATAGCATTGTGGGAACGCCGGCTCAGTTACCCTTGTTCACCATGCCTCGTCGCAAGTCAGCTCTCACTCCCCGGAAAATTGGGACTCTCCTCTTCCTATCTGATAGTTCTGACACTGATGGAAGTGGAAATGAAGACGAATTCTACGGCTTTGATCAGTTAGTCACCGAAAAGAATGACCAGGATATCGATAATAGTGCAGAAAACCCGGACGATCCTCAACCTTCTACCTCTGGTGTGGGCACTAGTGACTCACGGTCGGTTGTTCCTCAACGCAAGAGAAAACTAATATTTTCGCGTGGCCAGGCCTCTGACTTCAGTAATGATAATGATAGTGACGTGGATTGTGATTTTATTGCACTTGACGATCAATTGCGTAGTGATAGTGAGGAATCATATTCACCAGTGAAGCATCGGTATGTTCGCCACTGCATGCGCTCGGGTAGTGTACCCTATGCTGTGCCCAGGGGACGGAGTACATCCCGGAGTACATCCTGTGGCCCTACACCAGTTTTAGGTAGTGATGGTGAGGATGATGTGGCTACCCTTGGCATGGATAGACCACAGGCATCAGTGGATGGTGTTAGTGGTGATGGTAGTGGCACCGCCATGCGTGACTCACCAGGCCACGCTGGGACCCACGCTGCTGACTCATCAGTTCAAGGACAACGCGGAGCACCAGCCACCAGCCCACCACAACCACAGCCACCCGCACAACCAGCCTATGATGTCCAGTATCCACCAGCAAACCGTATCTGGGATTGGCAGCAAAATCCCAATTTTGTTCCCAAGCCTCACCACTTTGATGACTCTCAAAGTGGAATTCTACCTACTTGTCCCCTTGGAACCACGGCCAATGAACTGGAATTCTCTGAATTATTCTTTGACCAGCCATTGATGGAAATTATTGTAAGGGAAAGTAATAAGTATTTTGAGTACACCATGGCAAATACGATCTTATCACCACAGTCAAGACTACACAGGTGGAAAGAGACAACTGTTGCAGAAATGTATTTGCTTTTTGCAACAATAATGCTTATGCCTCACGTCTATAAGCATAATATAAAAGCATACTGCTCCACAGATCGGCTAATTTCTACCCCGGTCTTCAGTGAAATCATACCAGTGAACAGGTTTATCTTACTCTTACGTATGTTGCACTTCTCTGACAAAACCAGGCCTGACAGAAGTGACAGGTTATACAAGATTAGATATGTTTTCATGTATCTCAAACAAAAGTTCAGGATATACTTTTATCCATTCAAGAATCTTGTAATTGACGAGTCTTTGATTCTGTTCAAAGGTAGACTGTCATTCAAGCAGTATATACCGAGCAAGAGGAAACGCTTTGGTATAAAACTGTTTGTACTCTGTGATTGTGACAGTGGCCTGGTGTTGGATATTGTTGTATACACGGGTAGTAAAACATTGAAAGATACCAAGATGTTATTGGTATCTCAGGTGACGTAGTGAGAAATGATGGCACCTTATCTTGGTAAGGGGCATACATTATATACTGATAACTGGTACACAAGCCCATTACTCAGTGATTTCATGCGAGTGAACAAGACAGATGTGTGTGGCACAGTGCGTTCTAATCGTAAACATATGCCCAGGCTCAACGCAGGTGCTCGTGGTGATGACGTGCAGGTGTTTACTGCCAATGACATCATGGCATTACGGTGGCATGACAAACGAGATGTCACATTGTTGACAACCATTCACCGTAATGAAATGCAAGACAGTGGCAAAGTTGATCGAGTGACTAATGAACGTATTCGAAAACCAGTGACAGTGATTGATTATACAGAAAACATGCGCTTGGTTGACAAATGTGACATGCAGATTGGTTTTGTTGACTGTGTTCGTAAGAGTTACAAGTGGTACATGAAACTTTTCTTCCATCTCATGGACATTTCAATGCTCAATGCATATAATATGTACCAAATAAAGACTGGCAACAGACCACCGTATGGTGAATTTTGTTTGTCTGTTGTCAGACAACTCATAATGAAGTACCAGGTAACAACACCTGCTATACAACACGGTCCTCGAATTCCTCAGGATATACCCATGCGTTTGAGGAGGGAAGGTGATCATTTCATAATACAACTTCCTTCAACTCAGAAGAAATTTGCTCAGAAGAGATGCATCATCTGTGCACAAACAAAACGACGGCAACAAAGACGCAAAGACACTCGGTTTATGTGTGAGGAATGTACGGTGCCTCTGTGCATGGTGCCTTGTTTCAAGGAGTTCCACAAGCTCCAGCAGTTCTAAAACCATGTCCAGTGATTGTAAATATGTAAATATATGATAGAACATTAGTATTATACAAGATTTGTGCATGTTTATTGTAATAAACAACAGTGGTAAACAATAATATGATAATAACTTTAGTGCGGTTATTGTGTTCAATACAGTGAGTTTATATATATACATTATATACAGTATTGGTCTCTCAGGCCCCAAATGTTAGTAGGAATAGAAAAAAATTGGAAAAGAAAAGAAAAAAACAATAAAAACCGCAAAATAATGTAATGCGTGTATGTGGAATTCGTCGATGTTGCCGCCACCACATCATTTTTGACAAACTTCTTGGCACTGTATCTCGGTAAGTACTGATCAGAAATTTTTTTTTTTGTCTTATTACCTTCACAAAAATATGCTCTTTAATTCTGTAAGAAAAAATAATTTTTTTTTTTTTCAAAATTTCTTGGACACTGGAGCACCACTTCAGATTTTGGCCTTGGACCCTGAAGGGGATAATAACATGTATTATTATTAACAAGTATGTATTTAACCCTATGACTGTCGCAACCCCCAATCCTGAGGTGTCTCCTGGTGTCGCAAAATTTAAAAAAAAAATATTATTTTTCTTATGAAATGATAGAGAATCTTTTCCCGATTGTAATGACACCAAAAAAAACGAAATTTGATGGAAAACTGACAGAATTATGCTCTCGCGAAGTTAGCGACCTCGGCGCTGTTTACAAATCGGCGATTTCGCCCACTTTGAGCCCTATTTTCGGCTAATTCCATTGTTCCAGTCGCCCAAACTCATAGCTATTTCTTTAGAACAATATTTTTTCTATCGATTCAGTACAAGAAACTGCCCATTTACCGATTTCAACTACCTAATAATGTGGTCAGAAATTTGCAATTTGGCCAATTTCACGAAAACTAAAACATGTGACAATTTCAAAATAAGGTCCAGAATGAACAATGCAGACATTCCTGGCTCTAAAATAACATTTTCTTTGCTCATCAGTCATGTCTCCAGGCCCCTCTGACATTACTCTTGCTTTCTATTTTGAATTTTTATTCAAACAAAAAATAGAAGACTTACTATTATGCAGACTACTGCAATACTGTAATAATTGTATAAATAACATCAACCCATTCATGACTGCATATTAGAATGGCTAGTTGGACATTTATTGGAAAATGGCATCATTTGTTTACTTTTGAACATTGGCAAAAATCAAACATTTCCCCTACTTTGAGCTCCATTTCTAGGTTCTTCTTATAGTAAAATCAATCAACATCACCTCTATTTCTATAATATGTTTTCCATTCTATCAATTGAGACCAAGAAAACGAGAATACAACCATAAATACTATACGAAAATAGACCACAAAGTCGGCATTTTAATTAAAAAAAACGGTCGGAGTTTTTTTTTTCTCATTATGCACTGCGTGCTGCAGGATTTTTTTTATATGGTGCACACTGACCACACAGACCCATTATCTCAAATGTGGGCCTACCAGCTTTCTCCTGCTTGATTTGAAGCCGCTAGAATTTATGAGTATACATGTATATACGTCAAACACGGTACCTCGTAAGACGTATATATACGGCCTTAACAGTCAAAGGGTTAATAACATATATAAGTAATAATAGTACATATTATTATTAACATGTATTATTATTAACATGTATGTTATTAAATACCATTGCCTCAATCACTGCCTCTACCACTCCAGTCACACTCAGTCTACAAGCACCAAACACAATGAATTATTGTGAAATGTTTGGAAGAGCAAGGAGACTAATGTTCACTCCAGCATAAACAAAGTCACACTGATGATGTGTCAACCACTCCCTCGTATTTTTGTACAATTTCCTTCTTCAATTATATCATATTTATTATTATTATTATTATTATTACTATTGTTATTATTAGCTGTAGCAGAAATGTTTAATTCTTTGCAGTGTTCAAGAGTAAACACATGATGTCACCGTCTAATACCTGTCCGAATAGCCATTCCAATATGCAGTCATGAATGGGTTTACATTATTTATACTGTACAGTAGTTTAATAGCAAATAATGAACAAACAAAACACTCACCACACTGAGTGGTGGGAAGGCTGGCTGCCAGTTGCGGGGGTCGGAGGGAGGGTAGTAGGGACTCGCAGGAGGCGGGAAACTTAAATATGATTTAGCGGCTGGGAATTTGGTGCCTGGGAATTTGGCAGTTGGGAATTCGCGAATGTGTGAAGCCCGTGAAAGTTGAAAACGTGAATGTTGAGGGAGACCTGTACAGTACCAATGGTATATCTAAGGTATGGCAGGTATGGCACATACCCTAGGCCCACATGGAGGGGCAGTGCACTGAGCAGTTTCTATTAAAGTCAGACAAGCCATACTTGGATAGTGAAAAAAAAAAAAAATTCTTCAGATGTATGATCTATCTTTGATTATCATGGGTGAGAAGCACTAAGATGGCTAGATTATTAAACCATTTACATAAATTATTAGGTAAAAATACAGCACTGGGAGATACATGACCACACACCTCACAGTACCCCTGCTCAGCGCCAATTGGCAGTAAGACCATTCTCCTACGCAAACTAGGGAATTAGAGTTTTGTGCAAAATCTGCAAAATTTAATGTTCTTATTAAAAGTTCCATTTCCTTATTTCAGAGCACTGTGTAAGTAAACCATGAAACATTTCTTCACGAAGAAGGAAGTGGAGCCGAAGGACAGAAGAGACAAAGTTGGAGGTGGAGAAAGCCAAGAAGTTGAGCAAATTCTTAATGTCCTTTGAAAAGCCCAGAACAAGTTGTTCGACATGTTCCATGGAGTCGACTGCACCTTCTACAAGTGTGTTAGAATCCAAAGGTGGATCAAGTACAAATGCATCACAAGCTGAGGGATAAGTCAAGTCAGATAAATCAGAATATGAGGTTATTAAAAGTGAGGCTGCCAAAGAAAATGAACATGACAGGAAGGAAAGACGGTGGTGGCGATGTTGAGTTTATTGACAAGAGTTTTACCTTAAGAGACTGAACCAGACGACATTGAATCTAGAGAACTGGATGGTGCTGAAGAGCCTTGAGCTATCATACCAAAAGTGATTGAATAACCTAACATTGAACTTCTGAAGTTTGGCAAGGATACTGGAAAAGCAATTCTGACTGATGCACCGAGAAAAATAATTAAGAACAGTGAAGGGTCTTTCCTACCAACAAATAACTGCTCAATGAACAAAACTTGGTTCAAGAGGAAATCGAGAAATAGTCATGGTGAGGGAGTGACTTGCTCATGGCTAGACTCTTCCCCTTCTAAAAAGTCTGCTTTTTGTATCTGTTGTCTTCTCTATTCCCAGTCAGACCATCAATCCTCACAGGAGCAGGAAAGTTTATTCAACCAGCGAAAAGCACCTAAAAGGATAAGTGTTCATGACAATGCTAAGAATCATCAGGAGTACTTCACACAGTGGAAAGAAATTCAGCTGAAAACTTCAGTCACAGATTGAGAAGGAAAAACAGAAGTGGCAGAATATCGTGACACGAATGCTTTACTGCATAAAATTTTTTGCAGCTCAGAACCTGGCTTGGTGAGGACACAGAGTCACTTCAGATGGACGATGACTCCAATGTGGGAAATTTCCTTGGCTTACTGAATCTACTGGCCATCTCTGACCCTGTCATGGAAGAACACCTTACTTGTGTGTAAATTAATCCTGGATCCACATCTTATCTTTTACCAGGTGTCCGGAATGAATTCATCCACATGATGGTATCCACAGTTCACCAGAGCTGACTGAAAAGCATTCATAAAGCCAAGTGCTATGGTCTCATGTTCAACTCGAGTCCTGATAAGGCACACTGTGTGCAGATGTCAGAAGTAGTGAGGTATGTGGAAGTTGATTTTGAGAGAAAAACAGTGCTAGAGAGTCCTTCCTTGGTTTTATCCAGATAAGCGAGAAAAACAACCTGGCAGTGTTGGTGAATTGCGGCTATCACTCACTCAACTTGGTGGGTGTACATGTAGCCAAGCAGAATACAATGATGTCATGTTTTTTGGAACCATCAAAGCGCTTTGTATAAAAAAAAAATAAAGCCATGCTTGTGATTGTTATGGTGGAGTCCAAAACCAGGTGGAGTGCAAGTTTTCCGGGACATAAAAGACACTGAAAAGGAGACCAGTGAAACAAGAAGTGATGCAAGGCAGCTGTATAACTGCATGTTAGGTTATGATTCTCTGTCTTTGCCAGGACTTTGGAACAAAGTACAGCCTCTCCTCACCTAGCGACATAGTCGTTTACCAACGGTTCAGACTTACGACAGGCTCTCTGACCAGTATGCATACCTAAATGTATATTAGAGCTAATTTCCTCTGCTCTGTTTATTACAATATACAATACACTACTGTATAATCATTTAAAAATATACCAGAAATGTTATAAATGGTGCAAAGGCAACACTAAAACAATATCAAAGATGGCTGACATAAACCCACTACCATTATAGTAGTAAGTTTTCACTTAGAGACAAATTCGTTTACCAACGAGGTCTCAGGAATGGAACTCCATTGAATTTGAGCACGTCATAGACCAATCTGCATCAGTGTAAGCAAGGAATGTGCAGTTGTAATTTTCATGTAGTGCCATAATTTGTTAAATAAAAAATAATTAGCACGACTTGTATTTTTGAGTTGATTTTATGATGTTAGATGTTTGGACAGGAGCACAATTTCAGTGCTTGCCATAGGCACTATTTTCCATAGATATGCCCCTGCATAGTACACAATGTACACAGGAGCTGTGACAACCCCTGCAACCATAGAAGTGAAAATGAGCAAGCAAGGAAGCAAGCAAGAACACACATGCATGTGTGCATGTGTGCACACACATTTATGGCCCCAACAAACAAACTAACCATCTCCAAAGCAAATAAATGCTCCCTTTCAATTAATGATGCAGTGAACAAGCTTAACTTCTCTACAGTAGGAGTTAATCTTGCAAACATCCCAGAGGCTCACACCAGCATCAGTAGCTATCTAACTGGCATTAACCCTAGTTTCTTTACTTGGCTTTTACCACCTCCTTAGAAATAACTAAAATATAAAATCATTTGAAAATACATCTTGTAACAACTGAATTATCTATAATTACCTGGAGGGTGTTCCAGGGGTCAATGCTCCCACTGCCCGGCAGTGTCCCCCTAGTTGACCCCATCAGTGTAAAATAAGTCTATTACTCAAAAGAACAGATGCCAAACTCTTCATTCTTCACACCCTACCATGCCCCAGAGCCCTAATGCACTAGGTTACTTTGGCTAAACTGGGACTATATGTTTCACTGGTACCCTGTCAACTACTGGATCAGGATTTCACCCTCAATACATGGGTTCCAAGTTTATTCCAGATGGCTTGTAGAATGCCAATACACTACAAAGGCAAAGCCCCCTCAGCACACTTAAGCTGAGGAGCGAGGATTGCCAGGCTTTCCTGAAGGAGTTAAATTCCCCAGTTTCACCACGCACCAGCTTCATCTCTGCATGCTTGATAGTAGTGCTGTGCCATGCCCTACCCCATTACCCTTCACTGCACCCAGGAATTTGCCTAGGGTCTTGGCAGCCAACAACCCAGCACCATCTATGCTACTCTCAAATTTAGTTTTACCTCACGTAGATCTACGTTTGAACCGCTAGTGCTCCGAATGTAGATCTACACTTTTTTTTTTACAAAAGAATGTAAAATAAAACATAGATCTACATTTGGAGCGCTACTGGTACAAACATAGATCTATGTTTGGACAGTTTAAGGGTTAATTTTTGTTCTAAAGGAAGGAAGAAAAACCCCAGATTTGATGGATTACTTGGCAACTTCAATTTTAATCTCGGAGCTTTTTTTTTTTTTGACCTCTTAACATGAACACATTGGTTCATAAGTTGAGCCTCTCCTATATTGATAAGACTAACTTTTCTCTTTCCTTAAAAGATGTTTAGCCCTGAACTCATCCATTTGGGACATCTTTGATCTGATATTTTTATGGGAAATAAACAGGTATGTCATTTGGGCAGCTTCTGCAATGCATATTTAAAAACATCATGTGGGGTTCTCCTCAGACATACAGCCTCTCCTTGCTTAACGACAGAGTTCCAGTCCAAAGACCACGTCAGAAAACTAATTCGTCACTAAGCAAGGAGTGTACTATAATGGTAGTGGGTTTGTGTCAGCCATCTTTGATATGTTTTAATGTCACCTTTCCACCATTTATAAAATTTTTAATATACAGTGGACCCCCGAGTTTCATCGGCATCGACTTTCGTGAAATCCGACTTTCGGCAAGTTTTTTCGGCAAAATTTAGCCTCATGGTTCGTGATTGGACTCGTGATTCGGCGACCGTCCGGTACCCGTCTGCCCATCACCGGGCACACAAAGCCAGTCTCCCACACCATTCACACTCAGTGTGCCATTGTTTACCAGCACGTGGGCATCACCCTGCGGGTTCATACAATACGTTTCATAATAATCCATTGTTTTTTGTGCTTGCAACTGCTGAATAAGTCACCATGGGCCCAAGGAAAGCTAGTGCAAGCCCTTTGGTAAAAAAAGTGAGGAACACGATCGAATTCAAGCAGGAAATCATTGAAAAATATGAGAGCGGAGTGCGTGTTACAGAACTTGCCAGGATGTATGGCAAACCCCACTCAACCATGGGGTAAGGCTTGGGAAGGAGTGACTTGCAGAACTTTGAATTCTGCTTGGAGAAAATTGTGTCCAGAATGTGTACAAGAGAGATTTTGAAGGGTTTGGGGCTGACCCTAAGGAGCCTATGCCAGTTGTGGAATCTATTGTGGCATTGGGGAAGTCCCTGGGGTTGGAGGCGAGTGGCGAGGATGTGGAAGAGTTGGTGGAGGACCACAAGGAAAAGCTAACCAATGAAGAGCTGCAAGAGCTTCATCTGCAACAGCAAGAGATCACAGCTCAGGAAATTGTGGCAGAGGAGGAGGAAGAGAGATGGAGGAAGGTGCCTTCTTCAAAGATTAAGGACATTTGTGCAAAGTGGACTCAAGTGCAAACATTTATGGATGAACTTCACCCTGACAAAGCTGTTGCAGGCCGTATTGGCAACATGTACAATGACAGTGTTGTGTCCCACTTCAGACAAATCTTAAAGAAATGCCAGAAACAGCTTTCTGGACAGATATTTTGTATGACAGGGTTTCAGTGACTCAAGTTGTTTCCAGTATCTTTAAAAAACAAAAAAGGGAAGTAACCCCAGATAAGAACTTTGTACCTGAAGTCCTAATGGAAGGAGATTCTCGTTCCAAACAATAGTGTACACCTTCCTCCTATCCCCTCCTCCCGTCTTCCATCCACCCAGAAGTCTTCAGTAAAGGTAAGTGTAATGTTATTATTATTTTTCATATGTATGTACTTGATTTCTCATTGTTTTCAGTATGTAAATCTTTATTTAATTTGAAAAAATATTTTATTTTAATATTTTTGGGTGTCGGGAACAGATTAATTTTATTCCCATTATTTCTTAAGGGGAAAATGGTTTCGCCATTCGGCAATTTCGACATTCGGCAGACTCTCTGGAACAGATTAATCACGAAACTCGGGGGTCCACTGTATTTTTAAATGTTTATACAGTAGTGTAGTGTATATTGTAATAAAGAGAATAGAGGAAATCAGCTCTAATATATATACATTATTTAGGTATGCATACTGGTCAGAGAGCCTGTCGTAAGTCAGAGTCGTCGGTAAATGAGTAAGTCGCTAAGTGAGGAAAGGCTGTAAAAGATCTTCATCAATATAACTATTGGTCAAGTTATTCCCATTATATGTCAAAGTGAAAAGAACCAAACCATACTAAGGGTGGGGTTAGAACCCACGATCAGTCTCTCAAAAAACTTGCATTTGTGGTCACAGTGGTGCCTATGCTAACCTTTCTACGGTGTAGAAATATACCTAGTTGGATGAATCTTATTGTGGCTAGTTGGCCCAGTGGCTAACGTGACAGTCTGGAATTTTGAGACTCTCCGATTGCGGGTTCTAACTCTGTCCATGGTATGGTTTGTTTGCAATTACGGTTTTGTGAGTAATGTCTAAGTGTTTCGAAAAGTCCATTATAATCTGCCAAGCAAAAATGTGCGACCTTTATTATCATACTTCTGTGCAATATTATAAGCTTAAGATTTATGGTCACTTGTGTCAAGTTCTTCACTGAGCTCTAGATTATTTACAAGGGTCTCCTTCCTTGTCAGAACTAAATCAAATTGGTTATTATATCTCTAGTTGGTTCTGTAACAAAGTGCTTTATAAAGAAATCCCAGACAGCCTCTAAGAAATTGTACTTCAGCCTTTTAAAACTAAATGTGCTGTGTCACAGTTTGAAAATCATAACAGAACCTTTAACCCGACAAGAACAGTTTTAATAAATATGGTCATTACTAGTAACTAAGAGCTCCATCAGGTTAGGTAACTAACATGGAGTTCTTAGGCTTGCTAGAGGAAAAGGATCAGGCGAAGGATTTACCTGAATGGAGCGAGTAAATCTGGATTTAATGAGGGACGGCATGCAAGCGGGTAGGTGTAGATAGGGGTAAATGTGTGTGAAGAAGCTGGCTTCATATGTGACAGAATAATCAATCAGGGGCTCTAAGACGTCTGCTGAATGTTTCATGTCTACAGACAGAGGCCTTCACACTAAGCATTAAAACAGTATACTAGCTAGCATTCCTGCTGGAGGACACTTCACAACCAATCATGGGCAAAAACACTTAGACCATGTTTGTTTGTTTGTTTGTTTGTTACAGAGGATAGTAGTGAATGACATTAATAAACAGTACATTACCCGCCTCTGGTTGTGGCAACTGGGAAATATCTGGATATAGTGCATTTCCCCCATGGCACACTGGTGGAGCAGGGATTTGCCCAGAAGGAGGGTAGCTAAGTGGATGACCTGTTGGGTATCCCTCTTGATAAGCTGGTGGAGGAGAGCTGTAAGGTGCTCCAGGAGGCGGGGCACAGTAGGGAATCACACCAGCAGGCACTGGCCCTGCAAGCTGTACACCAGGAGGGCAATATGGAGGTGGGGCACTAGGGTAGTACGGGGGAGGTGGTCGACCTGGGGGTACCCCGCTGCTGCCAATCTGAAAAGAAAAAAATAATAATTTATTAAAATATAAGCACAGGTTTTAACCCTAGTGTGCATTTTTTGCTGCAGCATCTCTTAACCCTTTCCGGGTTTCGGCCATACTAGTACGGCTTATGCGCAGGGGTTTTTGACGTACTAGGACGCATAAATTCTAGCGCTATCAAATCTCGCGGGAAAAGGCTGGTAGGCCTAGATGTGAGAGAATGGGTCTGTGTGGTGGGTGTGCACAGTAGAAAAAAAATCTGGGACCCAGTGGTGCATTGTGGGAATGCCATCTTAGTAAACAATGTCCACCATGCCTCGCGGTAAGAAGTTCCTCACTCCTCGGCAAATTGGGACACTTTTGTTCCCCAGTGACAGTTCTAATATAGATGGAAGTGCCAGTGAAGATGAGTTTCAAGGTTTTGGTGAGGTTTTGACCGAAACTAATGACCATAATATCGGTAATAGTGAGGAAAACCCAGACAACCCTCAGCCTTCCACCTCTGCTGCTGGGCCGTCTTGTTTACACTCAGTTGTACCAGAATCAAAGAGGAAACTCCTATTTTCCCAAATCCCAGACTCAGATGTGAGCATTTGTGATGACAGTGATAGTGATTATGAACTACAAGCTCATCAAACTAGTTCCAGTAGTGATAGTAAAGTGCAATATTCCCCAGTGAAGCGTCAGTATATACGACGATATATGCACTCTGGTAGTGTGCCATATGCTATTCCAAGGGGAAGGAGTACATCTCGAGTACATCCCGTGGCTGTACAACAGAAACTGACAGTGAAAATGACAATGATAGTATTGCAATTGGAATGGAAAATGTGCATGGTGGTGGTGGTGGTGCCGGGCGTGAGGCACCAGCAGTGGGCCATGCTGCCACCCACGCCGCTGCCTCAGCTAATCTACAACAAAGGCCACCATCCCCCACCCACCCACCCACCACACCAGCCTCCACAACCACAACCTCCACAACCACAACCACCTGTCATTGTCCAGTACCCACCAGCAGACCGCACCTGGGATTGGCAGGAAGCTGTCAATTTTGTTCCAAATCCCCACCAGTTTGATGACAACCAAAGTGGAATACGGCCATCCTGTACACTTGGGAACAATGCCAGTGAACTGGAATGTTTCGAGTTATTCTTTAACGAACCCCTGATGGAAAGTATTGTCATGGAAAGCAACACATACTACGAGTACACCATGGAAAACACAATAATTTCACCAAAATCATGTCTACACCAGTGGAAGGAGACAACTGTGGATGAGATGTATCTTTTCTTTGCCACAATAATGCTTATGCCACATGTGTATAAGCACAAAGTGAAATCATACTGGTCAACAGACCGCCTGATTGCAACCCAAGGTTTCAGTGATATAATGCCAGTGAATCGGTTTGTGCTAATGTTACGTATGCTTCACTTCTCAGACAAAACCAGGCCTGACAGAAACGACAGGTTAAATAAGATTAGGCATGTGTTTGTGTATCTGAAAGAGAAATTCAATATGTATTTTTATCCCTTCAGGAAGCTTGTAATTGACGAGTCTTTGATTCTGTTCAAAGGAAGACTCTCTTTCAAGCAGTACATACCAAGCAAGAGGAAACGCTTTGGTATAAAGTTGTTTGTGCTTTGTGACTGTTACAGTGGTCTGGTATTGGATATTATTGTGTACACTGGAAGTTATACATTGCAAAATACCAGGAAGTTATTGGGCATCTCTGGCGATGTGGTTAGAAGAATGATAGAACCATACCTTGGTAAGGGGTATATATTATATACAGATAATTGGTACACAAGCCCCTTACTCAGTGATTTTTTGTGAGTGAGCATGACAGATGTGTGTGGCACAGTGCGTGCAAATCGGAAACACATGCCCAGGTTTGACACTGGCACCCGTAGAGGTGAGGTGCAGGCGTTTGCTGCCAATGGCATCATGGCATTTCGGTGGCATGACAAACGAGATGTCACACTATTGTCATCAGTTCACCCTAATGAAATGGCAGACACTGGCAGGCAGCATAGAGAGAGCAATGAACCCATTCTTAAACCTGCAGCTGTGATTGATTACACCTTCAATATGCGCTCAGTGGACAAATATGACATGCAGATTGGGTTTGCTGATTGTGTTCGCAAGAGTTATAAGTGGTACATAAAAATTTTTCCATCTTCTGGACATTTCCATGCTGAATGCTTATAATATATATAAGATGAGGACCAGAAAAAAACCACCATACGGCGAATTCTGTTTGTCTGTCATCAGATAAATAGTATTCAAGTACGAAGGAACACCTGCAATAGACCGCCCACTAAATTTTCAACAACTTCCTTCTCGTTTGAAGCATGGTGATCATTTCCTGGTAAAACTGAGTGCTACTGCTTTCAAGAAAAAGGCTCAGAAGAGGTGTTACATCTGTGTACATACAAGAAAATGCCCACAACAATGCAGAGACATTCGTTTTATGTGTGAGGAATGTAAAACACCACTGTGCATGACACCATATTTCAAAGACTTCCACAGGCTGCAGAACTTCTAGAAACATTCCCTGTGACTGTATATGTGTATATAAAATATAGAAAAATAGTAATAAACAACATTTCATATCATTTGTTTATGTAAATATTTTTTGTAAACAAATCAATGACAACAGTGTTTATGCCCTTATTGTGTAGTATTGAAAAAGAAATAACTTACAAAATACTGATCATACTGGTCTCACAGGCCATAAAAGTTACTTGGAGAAAGAAAAATTAAAAAATAATAGAAATTAGTACATAAAGTAAATAAATGACTACCTCACTGGCAACTACCCGAACACACTGTTCCTAGCTCCGACTAACCCATACGAAGTCTCCCTTATTATCGAAGCACTGAAAAACAAGGCAGGAGATTTAAATACCTTACCACCCTTTATATACAAAAAAGCGTCACAAGTACTATCACCAATCATTGCAACACTCTTTAACAAATCCATTGAATCCTCCACCTTCCCTACAGTTCTCAAAATAGCAACGGTCACCCCGATCCATAAAGGAGGAGACCAAACAGAGTTGAATAACTATATAGGCCAATATCCAATTTACACCCTCTCAAAAATCTTCGAAAAATTAATTCATAAACGAATCTACTCCTACCTCATCTCCCAAAACATTCTCAACCCCTTCCAATTTGGATTCAGGCCTAATAAAAATACTAATGATGCTTTTATACACATGCTAGAACATATATACATTGCAATAGAGAAAAAAGAAGTCCCACTGGGGATCTTCATTGACTTACGTAAAGCTTTTGATACAGTTGACCATGACTTGCTCCACGTAAAATTGTCTCACTATGGTATAAGAGGGCACTCCCTCAACTACCTCAAGTCTTACCTCAGCAACAGAAGCCAATATGTGTACGCAAATGGGGCAAGCTCTTCCGCACAACCAATTACAGTTGGTGTCCCACAGGGAAGTGTCCTTGGCCCTCTTCTATGACACTACATACGTCTTCTCTCACCCGAGCCCAGTCATGCTAGCCAATACGTACTGTAAACACCGAATTACAGAAAATATCTACCTGGATGAGGACTAACAAACTTACACTAAACATTGACAAAACCTACTTCATTCAGTTTGGTAACAGAGCTACAGATGTACCTCTTAACATAACGATAAACGGATCACCTATCACAAAGCTAACAGGGAAAATTCTTAGGAATCCACCTCGATAATAGACTCAAATTTCATACACATATACAACAAATTTCTAAGAAAATTTCCAAGACTGTAGGCATACTATCGAAGATACGGTACTATGTTCCACAGTCAGCCCTCCTGGCCCTTTATCACTCTCTTATTTACCCCTATCTCACCTATGGAATTTGTGCATGGGGCTCAACAACAATTAACCATCTCAGACCACTAATTACCCAACAAAAGGCTGCAGTTAGAATGATGATAAATTCTCACTACAGGCAACACACTCCACCAATATTCAAAACACTCAACCTACTCACCATACAAAACATCCATACTTATTATTGCACCTATTATATACATAGAACACTTAACTCTGATATTAACCCTCCCCTCAAACATCTCCTTGCCAACCTCAACAGAACACATGACCATAACACAAGGCACAGATCACTCTTTGATGTTCCTCGTGTCCATCTCACGCTATGCAAAAACTCAATGCACATAAAAGGCCCTAAAATCTGGAATTCATTACCTGTAAATATAAAAGAAACACTACCTGTTTATAAATTCAAGTCTCTTCTCAAAGTTCACTTACTCACTCAAAACCAAATAAATACTGAATAACTGAACCTTATAAATTGTATATCCAAAATGTTACTCACAATTATATCACATAAATGTTAAACCTAGGACCCAATCTAACTTTGTTATTTTTTTTAAATACACTACCTAACAGAATACTCCATTCTACTGAATGAACAGCAATGCATGCAACCATATGACCTGTCTTTGTAATACTCATTTGTGCTTTATAGTTATCTGTTTACAATAATGTCTTATCACTGATTTCATCATTGCTTAGTTAATCTTAAGTTAATTTTAAGCCAGCCCGTAATGCTATGCATATAAGTGGCTTTGGCATGCTGCTCTTACCTGTATTTTTTTTTGTACCTCTGTATGTATGCTAAAATTTCTAAATAAATAAATAAATAAATAAAGAATACCGGGTGACGGCAGTCGGCGATGTTGCCACATGGTGCCCCTTTTTCGCCAACTTCACGCCTCCATATCTCGGTAAGTATTGATGGTAAAAAATTTTTGTTTAGCCTATAATGTTTAGAAAAATAAACTTTTTTCATAAGAAAAATTTTTTTTTTTTTGTTTTTTTTTTTTAAATTTGGCCAACCCTGAGAACAAGTCTCTGACAGGGCCTGTCGACCTTGAAAGGGTTAACAGCACAAGATTGGGCACTGCTGCTTATTAATTCCCAAAGAGGTACCATAAGTGGTTATTTGAATGTGTTTTTTTTTCTTAATTTTT